GTACGAATACTCTTTAACATCTGCTTGCGAAATGGAGGTTCAAGACCCTCGCTGCGACAAAGCGTGTGCATAGCTTGCCGGTCGATCAGGACGTTAATTAACTTCCTCAGATATATTTACGTCATGTCTCCCTTTCCCTTCCATAGTATGGCGCAGCCCCCTCCTCCCGTACGCTACTACGTTACGGGTGGCGTCGCCATCGACAACATCGACCTCGTGTAACCTAGCAAAGCATCTCTGTCTGTAGGCGCGCACGTCCTGGCGCATCAAGGTCCACCCCTGACATCCAAGCGTATCGTTTTGTCTCTCCCGTCCGCCTCTGCCTTTTTGTCTGGAATTTCAACACGCTCAGGGCGAGGGCTCCGTTACGGCGAGCGCAACAAGCAGCGATACCGGGAGCAACAGCGACAGCAGCAGCAGCAGCAGCAATGCACAGAAGAACAGAAAAGCGCGCGGGCGGCGAAAGGCGCCGGGCGGCAACCGCCGAGAAAAGAAGACCAGCAGCGCGCCGCCTCCTCGGAGAGGCGGCGGTCGGCGTTCCGGACACCGTAGAAACGGCGTGCGTAGCGAGGGGCCAGGGGGGAAACGCCGCCGTCAAGGCCGTCACGCGGGAAGAAGCAGCAGCAGCAGCAGCGGCGGCAGCGACGGGGAGTCGAATGATGGCGATAGCTCCCACTCCGGGGAGAGCGATTCTTCCTTTTCTGGGAGGAAGAGGGGCGGCAAGAAGGCGGGAAACGGGGGGGGCACGGGAAGGGCCTTGCGCGGCAGCGATGGAGGAGGAAGAGGAGGAGGAGGAGAAGGAAGGAGTGGAGGGCCACGGCGAAGGGGCAGTGATAGCTCACAAGCGGCCGAAGGGGGAAGGGACGATGGGGATGGGACGGTGGAGGTTGAGATGTCCTGCGGCTGGGTGTTGGTGAGAAGTTTGTGCCACCATGGCTCGCGGGGTGGTGTAAGAGACCCCCACAACCATGCACCTTTGTCTGTAGTTGGTGCAGGTATCATACACGATACGGAAGCATATTCCTCCGTCTCACTCCCCTACCAGAATCCCGAGCATTGAGCACGGCGTAGAATCCTTGCGAGAAGAAAAGGGAGCTTCCGGTATATCTTACCTCGTAGAAGATCCGAGTATACAGAGGCACCGCTGGAACAGACGATAGGGCCCATCAAGCACCTCTCCTTAATTCCATGCGGGTTTGCTAAATATTGAAACAATCAAACCACATCAGATCCCTTTCTTGGAGCTGGTGGAATCCCACGAGGTGAAGAAGGTGCGGTATAAGCTGCTGGGGGGCACGCCGTTCGCCAAGACGGATATCAACGAGGTAGGGCGTGGTGTCGTGGTGGTACTGAAACGGTGGAGACACTCAAACGTAGCGAATGAAGCAGTGGGCGGCCCGTAATCCTACTGATATCTCAGATGAGTTGTGAATTACGGGTGAACGTGCAACAGAACGTGTGCACGGGGCGTGTTTACAATCCACCAAGACCTCCGAAGCCCACTTCATTATGCGTTTGACGCCAAGTAGTCCCGCGTGTTTTGTCTGACTGCGTGTCACTGAAAAACCCGTGGTCGGGTTCTCCACGGGGCAGGACGAAGTAATGACACGGCGGTACGGTTGGCGAGCTGTTCTGAAGGCCATGAAGATCGAGGGGCTGCACAAGGGGTCCGAGGTAGAGATAAAAATACTCCCCGTCAACGCCCTCAGCAAGGCCAAGCAGGCAAGTCGGCAGCTAGCGTGAGTCCTCCTAGCTTGGAGATAGATTCTTTCACCTGTTACCAGAGTTCACTTCCTTCGAACCCAAACGTAGAGATCGTACAGTGGAATCAGGTGTGTGCCTGAATTGATCATCCCGGGACCTGCTTTTTTTTTATTGTTTGAGCCCTGAACCTACCCTCCGAGTGCCTGTATTTGAACATTTGGCAGGCGTAAATCCATCCGCCTGAGACATGAAATCGTGAGCTTATTAGTATTTCCCAACCTAGCCTCATCTTTTTGAGGCGAAGGTTATGGTGAACCTGAAGTCAGGGGTTGTGAGCCTAAGATCAACCGATTGGATCACCACCAAGGCCTGAAACCGCCGTCACAAAGCCAAGTTTTCTGTGGGCCTGGCTGGAAAAGGCCGACCTGAAATTTGTTTGACCGACCTCTGTCTACCGTAGCCTAGACACCTTTGCTTGAATGCATGCAGGCGCCCGATGTGGGTTTCAATCCACTCAATCAGGTCTCAATCCACTTACTCATTGTTGTCCAAAGATTGTCATTCTGGACTCAACCTTGCTGTGGGCGTCGAATGACATTCGGTTGGAATGAATTTGTGGCTCAGGTAGCGTTTACCCCCTTCAGCAAACACTGGCAGTTGCACACCGGTCGTCCTTTATTTTATTCATACAGGTCGTTGAATAGGGACGTAAGGTGTTGGCTAACGTTTTATCCAAGAACCAGAAACCGTCAGAAGTTTGCCTTCCAGAGGTTTGCCTTGTCCCACTCTAACGACAACCGGATGGTATGGATGGCCCGTCCGATTGTATCCTTCGGACCATCAACGTCTGCTACACGCAAAAAAGTGAAAACGATGCGCAGATCTAAGTTCACTCGCTTTTGAAATGAATTCGGATGGACGGCCCTGACTGCACCGTTTTCAGACCTCTGTTGAGGTGAATAGGCGGCACTTTTGCTTGTTGGGCCCGCAATTAGGCTGAAATTAGGCTTCCCACAATCCGAAGTCACACTCCTTCAGCCGGCACCCAAGAATTATTACCGGCATGTGCCAAAGATTCGATTTCGATAAGTAATATAGATCTATTGATTTTTTTCACTTCGTCTTCGCTTTTGCTGGCAACGCCGAGCGTATAGAGGCTGTACGGATCTTCCGTTTGCCTTCCCCGACGCAGCGCTTCGTCGTTCATGGTTTCGCGAAATCGTGGGCAGATGCTAGGGGTACGAAGATCTCTGGAAGCATGAGCAATATATGAATTCTGCAACCTCTGCGCCGTATCCATTTTTTTCACACCAGGAGGACATCTTCCGACTCCCTAGAAATGTTATTCTGTCGGATACCTTCGTGTCTCTGGTGCGGCACTACCGGGAGTACGCCGCCAACAGCCTGGCCAAGCGCAGCGCCAGGGGCATGGGAAACGTCGGGTTCGGGGCCGGCTCGGCATCATCGGAGCCCGTTCTGGCGCTGTTCCCCCGCCTGGCGGGAGACCCCGCGTTGATGATGGTGGGCGTTCATAGCGAAAGTACTTGGTACGCAGAGAGGGAATGTTTGGCGACAACCTTATAGACTATGCTCGTGTCGCGCGACACAATCGTGATCTTGGACAAAAGCATATCCTAGAAGAATTTGTGCGAGCTGTGCTTCCGACGTTGATTTCCTGGCATGGGGGCAGACTGCAGGAGGTCCATCCAGGCAACAGTAATACTGTAAAACGCAGAGTGTGGGCCGATTTCTATAGCGGCGGCGAGGATGAGAGAATAGGCTTGTATCCCGCCGGCCCATGTCGCATGAATCTCACGTGGTGGCGATAAATCTACCGAAGCTATTCCCGACAACAAAATAAATCCAGGCCCTCAAGAACCAGTGGGAAACGGAAATGCGCAAGACTCATGTCGACGGCAGGCTCGGGGCCACCATCTCCAACAAACTCGCCGGCCTGGCGATGGGCGGGGGCGGGGGCGGCTTGGGTGGCGGGCTGGTGGGGGTTACCGGAGCCGCGAGGGAGGCGCGCCTGCTTTCTGCCTTCGAGAAGGCCGTATTGCGCCTGTGGCCAGCTTTCTGCCACATCGACGCCCAGAGGGGGCGGGCTTCGGGCGGGAATATCGGTAAGAGAGGAAGCAGCCAACGTACAAATACCTGATTGACTAGTAATCTGGCGGCGGCAATGTTGTTAACCCGCGATCTCTGTACTAGAAACTCCATCGCAATGAAACACAATACCGCAGGACCTGATGCGAACGTTCTGAATGAAAACGGGGACTGCTTGTAGTTGTGTGGCGGTCTTACCATGACCAGTGGTTTGGGCACACACCAACGGTGGGAAGAAACGCCGCAGCGGGCGGAGCGACAAAACCCGCCGATGCTACGCGTCAGCGGTCAAAACTTGTCGCGTGTGCTTCGTCTTTGCCGAATATCCCGTCGCAAGAATCTGGTAAGGACAAGATATCGCCTTCGCTGCGAAGATGGCTCGGTCACCCGAAGCGAACCACTGACGACTTCATGAAGTCCGTCACCACCGACCGATGATGATCAAAACTCCTCAGGAGCTGAATCGTACGAGGAGCTAGAGAGCAGAGGCCAGCGCATCCGACAGATCCTCGACAGCACTGACTCCTTCCATAGCGATACGCCAACGAAGGCCGCGAACAGGGGAGAAGGAGGTAGACGAGGCAACGGCGGCGGCAGTGCTTTCTCTTCCGCCGTTTCACAGGAAGGTCGCGTGATGGTCGCATTCACACTGAAAGAGGCAAGTTCTTGAATTTGCATAGACGGTGGGCAGGTGTTCCTTGCAAAGATAGGGTTTGCAGACCAAACTTGACCAGTCTCCGATAGCATCCCATCGACTGAAGTGGGTTCACCGACGAACTCGCACGGAGAGAGTCTGCGGAATGAGTGCCGTTTTCGTGTAAGCGGCCTACCGTCCACGCCGACGTTCACGATTTCATTCCACGACGCTTCTGCTGCCGCCGGACACCTGAACCTGAATGCTTGCGGCCTGATGCTCACGTTGTCTGTTGCCCATGTCCTCGCCCGTTTTCGCGTTGCACGGGCTTCAGGTCGCCTTCGATGTGGCATAAAAAACATGGAAGAAGAGGAGAACATTGGTGGATGCCCCCAAATCGCCGAAACTTCTTTCACAGCACGAACGGCCGTGGCTTGGAAACAACCGCCCGCGTGTACGACGTAGCCTGGTAGATGGGATTGTACAGCACTGAAAGCACCTTGCAAAAATATAGTGGCCATTGGAATAGTTGCAGCTGGCAAAGGCTAAGTCTATTGACTGCGACAGTCCCGTAGGGTTGTATTGTCTTATTTTCCGTAGCTAATAACCCTCCTCTATCCAGTCCAAACCCAGCATCAATGTACTGAGGAGACTTGTCTCGACAATGACCGAAGGGCGCTGCGTAGATATAAATGGAGTGAACCGAACCCATGTGAACCGCTCTTAGTGTCTTCGCACTGCTGTAAACCGTTACTGACCTCTGCACTGTACGCCCTCTGCACTCCAAGGTTAGACACGAATCCCTGCAATCCCGGGCTGAACTCCAAACTCTTGAGGAAAACCAGCTCCATCGTGAAACTGTTCCATGGGTTGCCTTCATCCATCGCCTGGTCTTCATTTCCTCAAGAACGTGACCTTTCGTTTCATTGGCAACTGGGACCCAAAACCTACTCGCCCTTCCCCCTACCTTCACGCTTGCCATACATAGTCACAGTTCTTGGGTAAGTGTTTTCCAACAACAGCTTCAAGCCCCTCTACCGGGGTACCAGGGTAACTGCTTGACATTCCTCTAGATATGTTGGCATCCCATTTCTACAGCCACTTGGTGCTCCCAACTGTCTATCTTGGCATTTGGCAATCCGGCCTCTCTTCAAAAACAGTGACACAACCTCCATCCTGATATTCCTCCATGGGTTGGCTACAACTGTCGCCTTGCTGGTCTTTATTTCGTCAAACGTTCTATTGCATTCAATAGCAACTGGGAACCAAAACCTACTCGCCCTTCCCCCAAACCTTCACCCTTGCCATGCACATTTCACGAGCAACTTTTACCAGCAACAGCTTCAAACCTCCCTACCGGGGTATCTCGGTAAGACTATTGCGCTTGTCATTCCTCCAGACTTCTCGCCCATTCTACAGTCATCTGGAGCTCAAACTCCCCATCCTCGCAGCTGGCACTTTGGCCTCTCCTCAAAAGCGGTGCCCTCGATCGATGCCTTGCCCCCAGAGTACCACCCTAACTGGGGGACACCAACAATTAAACAGCGAAAGCCTCCATCCGCACGGTGTGGGATGCATAATAGCGACACTTTTGACGCGTAATCCTCCAAAACGAGAGCAACCAGCGTTGCTAGCGTGTTGTCCGGGAGCCGGCAGCCCTTCTACCAGACTGGGTGACGGCCATGGCACCCACTGCAACAACGCCTGCGGCGAGCGCGCCCACGGCCGCGTAGCGCCCGGCGGTTTTCCATCTCCGCTGGGGAAGCTGTATTGCGCCCGGAGCCGACGGTGTCAAAAATTCGGTTCGATCCGGGGCAACGGGGCAGTGTTGGTATGGGAAAAGGGCGACCCAGAGTACACGTGGATGAGATGAAGCGATGGCTGCGGAGCAGTCGACAACGATTTTCGGTGGACTAATAGTCGAACCAAAACCTACAAGTGCAGCTGCCAACGGTACATTCGGTAACGCTCATTCCCGGTCGTTGGTTGTGTTGGTCTCAACCGCACCACCTCGCCCTACTACACACCTGTCCCCTCTGAAACTTTAAAGAAATGCAGATTTAGATAAGAACGAGGTGGAAAGCGCAACCCCCGCAAGCACCGAAAATCTCCTTTGCGAAGCTGCTTCCTTCGCGAAGGACTCGACAATCAAACCGACGCCAACTTTCTCGCTCAGACAAACTCCATTTCCGCGCCAGAGATAGGGCGCGGCAACATCAACAAGCAAACAGGCGCCATATTTCTCGCCCAGTCAAACTTCCATTTCAGCGCAACAGATAGGGTGCGACAGCATCAGTTTGCGGCTGTTCATCAGTACGATACTTCAAGGTAGAGAAATTGCTATCCGCGGGCCTGCTTTGATCTCCATCCCGACATCGACACGTACGATACTGCGTCAACGTCGCCCTGAACGATCACATAACAAATATAAGTAAACTCTGAACATCCGAGAGAAGTCCTTCCCACCCTACAGCATAGCAACTCTGCTCGCGTGCTGCTACCCTTCAGCACGACTCCACCAGCGCAACAAGCAAAGTGATAGCTACCTCTATCCCATAGAGGAAAACTCTTACAAGGAAGATCCCTGCCAAACAAGTAACACGGCAACATCATGCGTGTTGACGCCTATTGAGACAGCAACACTCGTACCGAGGGCGAAACCAATGACACGAGACGAGTGAACTTTGAGTCTTACAAGGCTTGATTGGTTTTGTGGAATACTGTCAGTCTGCAAGCGGCAGAAAAACACCTGTCCATCTACAGCAGTAAAAAAAGATCAGGAAAATATTGAAGGAAATACGTGAAGGCAGGAACGGTTTGGGCAAATTGAAGAAGAACAACAACACCGACGATAACAATAACACCTCTCTCACCAATGAGACTTCCGTCCTGCGCTGGAGGTCCCCGAAGAAGTGCACGTAAGCCTCCCGGAGGACTTCCGGCGACAGCGACGCTCGCACTTCCGTGCGACACGCCATCAGCTGCGTGTAGGCCTTGCTGATGTCGCCCTGGTACCTGGGCGTGTGGTACTGCATCGAGAGCCTATTTTTGCGTCGTTTTGAGAAGGCCGTGGGGGCCAAGAGACAGCCACAGTCAGCAGCGCCCGCATTCATCAGCAGGAGCAGCAGCAGAGGTAGATGAGTGTAAGAGGGATACGATGACTTACATATGCACCAGTATCAGCCGAGGTACTTGTTACCAGCACGTGGTATGATATACTACCCTGGATCCCCATGCCCCTAATGTTGTCAGCAGGGGAGGCATACACACCCGGAGATTCCTCGTTTCCAGTGCGTGACATCGACGGTCCTGCATCGATGACCTCGGTCGTACTCTAGTTTAAAAGGACATGAGGGCAACCCAACAGGAGACCCAACCAAATGTCAACTGCATCATTCTGTTGTTTAGGTTTCGGAGGGGTAGAGCTTAAAAACACGCGGCGTCTTGATACACTCATAATCGCCGAACGATCACGAGGCTGACAGAACTGTAGCGATGCACACGTACGAGGTGATTCCTATGGGCACATGCAAGGACGAACAGATTCGCGAAAATGACGACACAGGTGATTCTAACTAAAGAAACATGATGCTTATTCGATGGAGAATGCTTAACAAAACCGAAAAAAAACAACGCACGACGCCTACCCGCGCGTGGGTGTACAGCAAAAAATCTCGAGGGTACGAACGCATGCAGCCGAAGAACAAATCACCAAGAAACGAGAAAATAACCACCATAGCAAAAACAAAACGACGGTAACGACGGTGGCATTCACGCACGTGTGCAGCCAGTAGGCGTTCGTTCTCTCCGCGGTCTCGCTGTCCCTCCTGTCCGCTTCCACGGCGCCCCTTATCTCGTCCTCGCGGGGCCCCGACTGCTGGAGCCTCTTGATCTCCGACAGGGTGGTCGCTCGAAGGAGGGGGAGCTCTTGGGGCTCGCAAGAGAGGGTGATCTGCCGACCGCGCGTCAAGGACGAGTGCGCATCGGTTTTAGGGGACTTCCGTGGTACGTAGACTTAATCAAACCTTCTTTTTATTCTCGGTTTTTGTGAAGGCGGAAAAAAGCGTGGCAACGCCTCACTCGTTCGGGGGGCTCCAGTTTTTCTTGGAAGCATTGCCTGTGCTCTGATAACGGGTGCGCCGGGCGACGCAAGCCCGTGCCATCACACGCAAAAAATGCGCAAAAATGAGCGCAATAAAACACCCGCTCACAAATAACAGAGCGATGGTGGAAACGGTGCCTTACGACAACCGCGAGACTGCTGTGACGCGGAATAATACCACGCACCATGACGGTGCCGGGGAGGGGTTGATCTTCCCTCAGCATGGGTGGCGCGGAGAGGAAGCTGTCCTGTACCGACACGCCGTACGTTCGACCCAGGGTAAAGCGGAGCACCTCGTTCAGCCGGGTCTCCAGGACAGACGAGGCGAACTGTTGTGTGTCGAGGGGGGATACGAGGAGCGACGCGGCGGGAGGAGGGGGCCTGGTGCAGTGGTACTTGGTGGTCAAGGGACTCATTCCAGTAAACCCATGATAAATGTCTGGTTTGCATGCTTCTTGTCGATCTATCAGCCATTCCCGTACAATTTCGAACAGGAAAGCATTCTAAACCCGAAAACGATCCCATATCCCCTAAATCAGTTCTTTTTTGCTGCTTACAATAATATACTACAAATCATCACGTGGCATCGGACAACATGATGCATGTGTGTCATCTGCGTACAACCGCGCGACGATCGCTCTCCCAGTGCCCGTCTGTCGCCCACGATGTCCACGGGCGGTCCTCTCATCGGTCACTTCAACGCGGAAAAACCCAACAGCCAACCGTGGTAACACGCCATGGCGGCGGCCCGAACAACGGCTTTCCGTCTTGCGCTGCACCTGCCTACGGCGACGCCCTAGATACCTGTATGAGGATGTTGTCCCTGAGCCTCTCCGCGTGGGTGGGGTGTCGAGGCCCTCCCAAGGCCACCGGAAAGGTCATGGTCGACACCGCGTACGGGTCGCCCATCGGGACGCGTACCACCTTCACCACCTGCGCCACGAAGGGTGTTGATTTATGTCATTTCGGGGATGGGACGAGGCGGTGCGGCGCGGTATTGGCGTGGCGCGTACAATAGACGCAGCGACAACGTGTGGTGGGATTTGAGCTGCTGTGCCGCTATTATACCATCTATTGGAGGGAGGCACCCACACACGTAGGACGACTACATCAAGATTAGAACCACACCGCACACGTAGGACGACTACATCAAGATTAGAACCACACCGACATCAACAATGACCACGGAAGGGGCAACCACATGCGTTTCCCAAGACCCCGGCCGGAATCACTCATTCCATTCAAACTGCGGTGCAGAGAATTTTATCCCCACAAGAAAATAGTTCCTGTGCTGTTCAGCAAAACCTTCTGTTTATACATATTTCCATTATTTACAGCTACGCGTGTGTTCAGTGGCAAAGCCTACAAAAATGAGATAACACCGTAACGGATTCCTTGCCCCCTTACATCTACCCGGAGATTCTATTGAGACTCTGTCTACGAATCTTGCATCTGTACCACTACGCACGGTACAGACCGACGTCTTGTCATTGGTAAGCCGTTGGGCGCGGTCGAATCAAATGTAACGAAACACAGATGTATACACACACAGGTTTTTCCTCTGCGACCCCTCCCCCCCCTCGTGCACGAGCAACCAGGTGTTTCTTTCGTTTCTTGACCCCGTCAGACTGACGACCCCCTTGCAATCGATGCGAGCGGACGACGCTGCTACAAAAAGGAATAAAACAACCACATGTGCCGCCAACCCACCTTGTTGGGAGGGAATTGCACGTCGAGCGTCGTGACGTCGCGCCTGGTTCTGATCGGCTCTTCCCACGGCCGCACCACGGATGGTCCCCTGCTGCTGTCGTGGCCTTCCGCCGCGCTCCCCACCGGCGGTTGAGGAGCCCCAGCGACATGCTGGGAAGTCAAGGGATCAGCGGGAACACCACCATTTGCTGCCCAGCTCTTCGGGACCGGGATGCTGCCCAGGTACCTGCAACAGGAGACCGGGGGCGGGGGAGTCGGAATGGTTCCAGACTCCTTTCATCTGGCACCGGTTGAGTTTACATGCTTGTGAAGCCCCGGTGGCTCGGGAGGTTGTCGATCAAAATGCAAGGTTTCGCATGGCCTGAAGAAGGAAAGGGAATGTGACACAGCACAACTTCGCTGCATCTCCCAATGCCAACAAGCTACTATAGTTGTCAGGCCACGTATTTTCGCAGCAATGGTTTCGCCGCCACCGCTGGTCCAGCACTCCCCCCCCCCCCCTTACACACCAAACTAAAAACTCATACACAGGTCAATTCCCACGAATGCAACAAACACAAAATGACCGGGAGAGCCGGGAGAGCCAAGAAATCCAACACACCACGACACCACACAGCTCGACAACGACAACCGACAGCAGCAACAGACAAACCCAACAATAACAACACCAACAACAATGACAAGGGACAACATTTACAGACAACAAACGAACAGCATCGACAACAAGAGGGTCTCACTTGTGCATGAGAGGGACTGCCTCTGCCGGGTCCAGCGTCCCCACGAACACGAACCGAAACGCCTCCGGGTGCCTGAACTGGCTCTTGAAGTACGCCGCGGCCCACCGCGGGTCCACCTTCGACAGCAAAGACAGGCTTGGAGGCGCGTAGAACGGGTGGCCCTGGCGAAAAAAAAAAAAAGGCGGTATATTGGTGGACTTCTGGAGGTATTAGGACCATGTCATAAAAAGACCAACGAGAATACAAACCCGTGACCCTTTTGGAATTTGGTAGATTCTACCCCGATCATTGTTCCCCTATGCATACTTAAGCCAATCATTACGCAAGTCTTCGTTTATCTGACGTAGCATCTTGTTGCTTGGCTGTCTGTCGGGTTCTACCGCTGCACCAGATAAATGATCATGGCCCTTCGAATTTGTTTGTGCTGTCACTGCTGCCGTCTTCATCGGTGTTACTGCTGTACCGCCGTGCTGACAAGTACCCTGGGCCTTCGCATTCCGCGCGACTTCAACAAACAAGCAAGGAGTGAACAGAGAACGAAGTAAAGCACTGACCACGTCTGCATCCAGGGGAACGAGGAAAACAAGACTGACACGATCGGGATTGGTCGTGCTGCGGTCAGGATACTTGTACAAACATCTCACTGGAGGCCTGACAAGCATGTCAGCAACAACAACAGCAACCAAACCCACACCCCTACCACCACCACCACCACCACCACTACCTGCAAAAAAAAAAAAAACAAGGACAACAACGCGGCCGCAACCACCACGACACGTCCCCCCCCGCCAAACACGCCCGCCACCAACCAACCTACCTGCGTGTTGACTTGGTTGATGAGGCCCATGAGCCTCTCCTGCGGGTCCTTGTCCTGGTTCCTGACGTGCTCCTCCACGTACGACAGCACCGTCTCGAGACGCCCCTCGTCCCACCTCAGCTCCGCCACGAACAGGAGGTGCAGCAGCTGCAGCGCCGCCTCGAGGTCCGCCGCCGCGCACGACCCGCTCGCCTGGCGGCGATGAGAACGTTGTGCCGTAAAGTCACACACACACACACACACACAAACGGGGTTGATGTGGTTGGTGCGGCGCACGCGCGTGAGCGGCAGATACATGGCGGCAGATTCCGAAACTCCTGGACCTTTTCGCTGAACATGGTAACTCGTTGCTGGAGTCGCGTCGTGGTTGGTGCACGCTCGTGAGCGGCGGGTACAATGGCGGCATATTTTTAAACGCCGGTACCGTCTTCTGTGTACGGCGAATCGCCAAAACCTCAACCAACAAAAAGACACACGCATACGAAACTGATGCGGACGTCGGAGTAAGTAATGTAAACGCACGGCGAGGAATCAGTTCGAACATTTCACGGGCGGCTGTCGATGGTTGACACCCGTCGTCGCGTGATGCCGGTCTCCGCCAAAAGGCGTCCGACTTTCATCGAACCTCTCACTTTTCGTTTCTGCGTTTTTCGTTTCTGCGCGTTTGTCCTTTGTTATTTTTTTTTGTACAGTCAACACATCTCTATTGGTTGTGTAACGCGCGACGCCGAGAACCAATAGACCCACCACCTTCGCCGCACGTGGGAACTTTTGGGACACACACGGCAGCACCCAAAAAGCATCTAGAATGGCAGCAAAAACCCAGCTCCACAACCAGAGCCGTGAAATGCAACACGAGAGAGCCAGACCACAAGCACTCTACCCGGCCGCCCGTTGCCTCAACAGCAATATTCATCTCCAACTACTTCCACTGAAATTCGCCAAACTCTCTTGTATGCAGCCCGCGATTTCTGCAGCCACAGCTCGCTGTTCTCAAAGGGGGTAGTAATGAGGACAGCTTCCCAGAGCTAAAAAAAATATACGCCCGCCGGCCAAGGAACGAGACTCCACCCACAAAGAAATGGGGTCGCACTCTGCCCTCTTCAGTTGGTTTTAGATTTAACATGAGCACAAATATCAGCGAACTACCTCACATACACTAACTTTAAACCTTGAGTTTCATCTGGTATGGCGACTCCCGCTTTCTTCATCCCCGTCAAGAAACCAAAACCCGAGGACGCGTGTTTCCCGGTTTCACCATAATCGCGACTCACTCCGCGTTCTTCGTCCTCATCAAGAAAAAAAGAACACGAATCATGGCTGATTATATCCTGGATTATTTGTTGGCTGTGGACCGAGATAGATTCGTGCAAGTACGAAAAATAAATAGATCCACGAGGAGGTGTTGTTCTCCCTCCCTGTACCTCTCGGTCGTAGGCCTCTATGCTGAGCCCCAGGCTGACCCTCTTCCCGGTGAGCATGTCCATGGCCTTGGAAGGCTTTACCCCGAAGATGCCTAGCTCCTCGGCGACGGTGACGGACATGAGGGCCGAAGGCGCCCTGTCCGCGCAGAGCTCTGTTCGACCGCCGTGAGCGATGCCCGAAAATAGCACCTCGTCGTCGCAGAAGTCGGTTACCTTGTACGATACCTATTCGGGGGGCGGGGGAGGGGGGGGGGTACTCATAGTCGTGCATGCCGTAGTCGTGACCATTGACCTCGCATCCCTACAAAGCCGGGACGGAGCACGCCGGGTTGTGAGCTGCATCCTGCTAAGGGTGTTCGGCATCTTGTGCTTACTGCCTTGCGCGGATGACAGCTGCGTATGACTTAATTTATTTTCTGGTGCTTTCACTTCCAGAGACAGTTATAAGCACTGTGTAATTGCCTCGAGGATGCTTGACCATTATAACACAACGTGGTGCGATCATCCCCCTTGCGCGGAGTGAGGGTTCTCGACCCCGCACAACATGATCTACTCGACCCCCATTATGGTTACCGCCAAAAAAACAAACAGCGGTAAAAAAAACGGTAACCTGGTTGCCAAGCTCACGAAGTGAATTGGCTTGTTTTACAACGTCGTTGGCAAGCGACGAAAACCCAATCCCGATGGCAAACACCGAGGGGGCGGGGGAGGGGGCGTACTCTTATGTTTTGCATGCCTTAGCGGTTAGACCATTGACCACGCGTCCTCGAGAGGACGGAGCATTGTTCCCACAGGACCGATCACCGATGGCCAATCGTTCCTTCCTACTTTGCCAAAGGTGGCTCAAAAATGTCTTCCCTAGTCTGTCTATCCTACCGATGTCACTTCCCGCCTTTTCAAACCACTTTCTACTCCCCAGTACCGCTACCGTCCTCTCCTCTCTATTCCATGCCTCAAACATCTCCCTGTACGTCCCTTGTATTCTTCCCAGCTCAGTCATGTACACTTCCCTCTCCTTTTCGTACCACGGACATTCCGCGACTACATGAACACTGTCTTCGCATTCGAAGCCGCAATCGCATTTGAACTTGTCGTCTTCGTCGTCTACCGTCCTATGTCTTCGTCGACGTTCGCGAAGGCCTATGTCCCCGGTCCTGAATTTGACCTTAAGCTTTGTCCCTGCATCCATTGGTCCATGTAGGTAATCCTTGAACCCTATTCCTTCTTTCAACATTCCGTACACTTCTAGACCCTCCTTATCCTTGGGTTCTTTCCTTAGATTCTGTTCTTCTCTGTCGGCACAAGCAAGGGGGGGGGGGCAAAATCGGTGTATTTGCCGGAGGAGGGGAGGGGTACTTCTCTGCAACCGCGAAGAGTGATATAGGCGGGGGGTTGTGGTGTCTACTATTTAACTATGCGTAACCCTTAGGTGTTTGTCTACTATGTAACCCTAACTGTGGGTATTGTGGGGAAAAAAACATAGACCGACGCGCGTGAATCGCCTGGCCGGTCAACGAGAAACACGCCAGTTTCAGCAAAACTTTTGAGGACGGAAACAGTCTTGGGTGGGTGTGTGGTCATCATCATCCACGACCAACGTACGTTTCCGCACTGCCGTAGACCCTAGAAGGACTACGAATAAAGACGGGGCTCTGCAAGCCGGCACATCGCCGGTCAGGCAGACGGGGGGTGATGGAGCGGGGGAAGGTTCACACGAAGCGTTTCGGCGTGATTCGACTAGTGAGGGGTTCGGGGACGCGCGGCGATGAAGAAAATCGAATAACGCCAGCGACCACAACAACTCAACAGCGTCTTGCGTAAAAAAAAAGTAGACCACCTTCAGCATTAGCAACAACACCAACAGCGATGTACAACAACAGAAACACCAACACACAGCTAGTCAGGAACACTACCACCGCTACCAACAACAACATACAGTCAGTAATGGTCGCTGTTTAGGGCCGCACAACCAAGACCAGTTGCCCTGTACTTGAACAAGGTCAGCGAAAATCGCGTGACACAAACAAATACTGATATTCAAGTTGCCTCATGTCCATGGTACAACCCTGAATAGCGCAGGTGCCCAGGTACAAAGGCCGGCCAAATCCCTTGGCAATTATGTAACACACAGGGATCACTTTCTACGGTCCTGCCGTACCTGCATCCCGTTGGGTAGAATGATCTCGTGCACTTGTATCTCGCCGTCACCGGGCCCCAACACCTTCACCGGCGACCATCCCGCTGCCGGCTCGGCCGGCCTATCCCCTGCGGTGCAGCGGGGGGAAACAAACGCGGCGGGTGTCGCTCTCTCGTTTTGGACCCGCACTGGTGATGAGTGGGGGATCGGGGTGAGCGGCTTTTGGTTTACTGACAGCCGTGCTCGGGGGTATGTGGCAGTGGCCGACTGGGGGCAAACGGGTGTTTCTTGGTAAGGATTGCGAAAAAAAAGGAAATACGTGCCAATGCGGGTCCACTTATCGGAGAGGCATTTCACGAAGAGAACCTGGTTCGAGATGCAGCGAAATAACTTACCCACGGCCAGGTAGTCCGGAAGCAGGTCCTCAACCTCCAGCGGTTCCCCCCAGCGATCGTGCGACCACTCCCGGACTCGCTCCCAGCTGCCCATCCGACCCCGCCCCACCCCGCCGCCGCCCCCCCTGCCAGGCGAGGCATTGCAACACGTTTCACAAGTTACCGCGGAACCGACTACAAGGCGCACAGTGTCTGATGTCGTCTGATGAGCTGGCAGTCACACGACGGGACGGCGCAAGCACGTCAAACACGGGCACAAGACCAATGGTAACTGTGCCACACGGCCATTTCTCCTGGTCTTGCGGCACAACTACAACCCTTTCGCGCGTACACGGGTGTTCCAAAAACAAGAGTAGACGGGTGCAGGTGGGTAAAAAATAACATGGTGACTTCATCGCTACTTGTTGTAGTACCCTGGAATGGATGTACATGTCTATGGATGGATGAAATGAGCTCGTTTCGTTTTTATTGCAAAGAAGAATAAAGCAACAGAACAAAGGTAAGGGGTACTGCACGGGCCCGGGGAAAGGCAAAGCGCGCGCAACGACTACAACCACTTGCACCAATAATCACCCACACCGTCATCGGCACGGAAGAACGGCCCTTACAAGTGTTCCGACAAGAGGCCAAGATGAGGCGGCGCTTCACCGCCTCCCTGCCCCCCCCCCCCCCCCAACATTCGCCATGTTTCATCTCGAGAAAATCTTCAAGCTAACAACAAAGCTCTAGGTACAATAGGTGTTAGTATGCCAGGGTGGTCTAGGCGGCAATACCATTTCCGGTCACCCCCGGGGGCCAAAAAGAGCAAACGAAAAAGAGCAAACGATATTCTTTCGTATCTCCCCTACCCTCACCTTTCCTCGAACCTCCCCATCACCTCCAGCAGGTCCTCCTTCGTGGGCACCCCCCCGGTACCCCCTCCCGCTGCCGGCAGCGTAGCCGTCGCCCCATCGCCGCCTCTGGCGGGGCTGTCACCGCCGAACCGTATTCTCTTCTTCCCTTCTAGGAACGGGAAGACCGATCCCAAGAACGATCCTCGAAACGGCGACGCCGCCGCTGCCGAGGACAGCGACTGGGGCAGGGTTTCCGAGAGCCAGTTCTGGAGGCATGCTAGCCTGCCGGGGGTGGGGCAGGTCGCGAACACGACGGTGTTCTTGCCCCAAGAGAATCTGGGGGGGGGGGGACAAACGAAAGGACAAAATATGTTGCCTGCGTGCTTGAGATAACGTGTGCCCGGTGCTGCCAGCCAGTATATCGAACGAAGTGTGGTATTGGAGTCCCGCTTCAAGTTGGAGCCATGAAAGGGGATATTTCGAATGCCAGATCCACTTCCCAGCGTGATCCAGATGCCGACATCGTTCATGCAATGAAAAAGAAGAGCTGTCGTGAACACATTCCGAGGCATTCTGCAACATCTTTCGATGCGAAAAGATAACCAAACGACAAAAAAACAACCGTATTGCGTCTCTTGAACTTAGACCGATGATAAGACGCCAGTCTTTTGACAACAAAGACGTTGCTTTCCTTCCCGGTCCTGCGGGGAAATTCAGCTTCGCCACAAAAGATCCCTCGGGGTATGCATACTTCGGACCTCGCAGCGACAAAAAAAAAAAATGGTCAATAAATAGACCAAACTAGGATCACCTCTAGGCGAAAAATAAAAAATATTCACCTTTCGCTTCCGCTCTTTGCGCAACTTGCTACAGCCACTACGTGCTCTCCTCCACGGAATGAATCAATGACAGAGACAGGAGGGTGTTCAAATTTCTTCTACTCGTGATCCCCCAAGTTTTCCGAACTACAACGAGGCTACAATTCGACCGTTACACCAATCAACCCTAGATATTTACGTCTGTTCGACCAAGAGCTTTCCTGTGGTAATATATTTTCGATCAATCACCCTACGTACCTCTCCGCGACTTCGTTGACGTCCCCTGTTCCCACCGTCTCCAGCAGCGGCGCCAGCACACCGGCCTCCCAGTCTATACCCGGGGCCGGGTTGCGCCTCAGGAAGTGTTCCACGTAGTCGCTGCAGAGGTTGTTCGAGTCCGTCTGATCCCGCGCCACCCACTCTCCTCTGATCTCCGCGAGGTGGTTCTTCTTCGCTATCGACACCTGTTGACCAAACGAAACAAAAATTACTACATTTGTTCTTTACCTGTCCACATCAAACACGAATCACTTGGCGCTTGGTGTGCACTCAACCGGTCGGCGCCTAATGCTACATATTTACTGCTGCATTATGTGTGTGGTTTGATTTCCAAATCCGTCGAGTCCTGCGGGCTGTCTCTGGGGTCTCGCGATCCTCCCGCCATTCGCGATCTTCCCGTATGCTGCTACTGCTGTTGCTGTTGCTGTTGCGGTTGCTGTTGGTGATGAGGATGATGATGTTGATGTTGATGTTATCTTCATCTTCAAAGTCGTTCTGACATGGTGCCAATGTTACCAACACGCGCTACTTTATCGCCCTTCTCCTTCGATGCTCTTCAACGCTCGTCGGCGGCAAAGGAAAGGCGTTCGTGCTGCCCTCGACAGTTTCACCCGAAGATGCACACGGAATAACCCACAAAGAAACGTCTGCCTGAAAAATTAAACGTCAAGGAGCATCCTGTGTTCTCTCTCTACTTCTTGCCGGAGACCATCCCGGCTCCTTGCGACGACTCTAATCCAACGCACGCCTACAGCCCGGCGTCCTTAACCTTCGGTATCGACAACTATTGACTACTTCCAAGGCTTCCATCAAGCATCGAGGGAACTTGACTCCCCGCTTGCTAGGCACCAGACTCTGGTACAGGGTGTGGCACTCTAGAAATTTCTGTTAGGTTCGCACACAGTGGTGCAGGGTAGTGCGCCAGTTGCACCCGCACAATACCCCCACGCCGCGGGGCCCGAACGCGGGACAGAGGTTGGACGGCTCGATTGATCAACGACCGAAACAAGATCACCAATCAGCCTACAGTAGCAACGACCGGCAAGTACGAGGCAGCAGAGGCTGTGCCGCCGCCCGCCTTTGTTCCGGTTCGGCAGAGGTACACAGACCGAGCACTGTGTGTCTGTCGTCTGCCGTCGCGTCCGACCTCTTTCTCAGAACGTCACGGGTCGAACGTTGGCGTCGAGGATCGTTGAGGGTGGATATCGTTACCGCGGAGATCGACGGTAGCACTACTGCTGTTTTCGCTCCTGGCTCACCTCTCGGTCACTGAAGCCATGCACCTTGATGCGATGGACCTGGACGTTACCGTAGGGATGCGCGAAACGGTCACGAGAGCGAGAGTACAGGTTGGGGGGGGGGAATGGATAGACGTACGGACATACACGATCGGATCCACACACACGCAAGCACCACGGGCACGCGGTAACGATTCCACTCCGTGGAACGCATCCGCACTCAGCTATTCTTATCAACAGCCCAAAGAAGAAGTGCCGACGGTAGACCGACAAGCCAAAGGACCGAAGGGGGGCATTGTATGTCTACGCACCACGCAGCCGAAAAGCCCAACTTACCTCGGTGAGCACGGCTCGCATGGCTCGCGGCAACGCCCCATCCAGGGCCGTCACCATGAGCTGCACCGTAGACAAGGTGGCAACTGTCACCGGAGTGCTGGCGTTGTTATTCATTGGTGTTCCACACAAGCACATGCGTTGGTAAGGTTCCGACGAACGAACGTAGATAGTTGTTTACAGACCGTGAGGCCGAGTAAATCCCAAATACCCCACAGCCCCGGCGATGGTTTCGTTGCCATTACCGCACCCGACGGAAAAAAACACCCGCGTTTCGGCAGATAGAGGAGTCCAATCACGGGACGGGTTGCGGGTGTCGGGCAGGAGAGAGAGGGAGGAAGGTAGGGGGGAGGGAGGGGGGGGGGGGTACGTAGGGCGGGAGGGAGGGGGGGAGGGAGTGAGAGTGAAAGAGGGTCTACCCCGGCACACTTGCGGATAACAAACACCCGAGCCGGACATCGGCTATCCTCCCACCAACAACAACCACCCCTACAGTTGGTACCAACACATACACCATTTATTAAGCGAAGAGAGCCTTCTTGTCCCAGGACCACCCATCACCACGTAGCGACACTTACACTCATCAGTCTTGTCACTACAGCGACTCCTCAGAAGCACTCCCGACCCGTCCCCCTACCCACAGGCACACAAAAACCAGTGTCCGTCGAGGTGCACGGCAAAATGCGGACAAAAACGCTACAGCAACCAACTACCACCCCCCCCTCGGCCGGATGCCCTCCCCGCGTGCACCCACTCCAAAAGAAAAAGACGCTTCCTCCGCATGACAAACTGATTTCTAGAGCACGTGTGTACGCACCTGGAGGAAGCCGTGAGGAACGGCGGTCGGTCCCGCATGGCCGTCTTGGACAGACGGGCGTTGAGGCAGGCGTGGAACAGGTCCTCCGTCACCTCGCGCCGGTAGTGGTCGTGGGTCGTCAGCGGCAGAGCGGGCTGCGCGCACGGCGTGGATATATTGCGATAGGTACGACCCGCGCCGGATGAGGGGGGGGGGGGGGGGGGCATCCAGACGAAAGGAGGGGATGTGTTCAAGTCTTAGTCTTTACAGTGAGTGGGAAGAAAACACCGGCTGGATCCTTGGCTTACTTAGAGTCTATTGAAGCCCATACACTAAATTCTTTTATCAGTGATGCCAGCAGCTTGTCAAGGCGTGATCGACGGCCACGGTATGGGAGGAGGAAGGGGTATCGAGGGAGGACGAGGCGAGACGACGACCTGCACACGCAATAAGACGGCAAGTTTCGAGTCACCTGTTGAGAAGAACTACGACGACTACACCACGCGTCAGCCAGGGAAACACATGGCAACCACCTGATTCTCCCGGTCTGCCTTCCAGACGTCGAGGCGAACCCCGAATCCCCCCTCCCAACAGAGACGGACGGACACACTTCCTCATCTGTAGGAAGACCGTGAGAGCCATGCTGTTGACCCCCCCCCCCCCTCGAAACAACTTATCTACGGTGCCCCCGTTTAGGAGCCGAGACCAACCGAAAAACAACGAATGCCACTGCCATGCTGGAACGAGAACAAGAAACAACAGATAAACACCCTCCCAACTCTTCCCCTCGTTCTACTGCCGGTGTTTAGCGCAACACAGAAAAACACTATATTGTACACCATAATTCCAAGAGCAAACCCCAACAAAACAGCAAGACAGGAAAGGGCGCAGCGGCTAAACAATAACAAAATAAATGGTTTCTTGCCTGCTTAACCTCGAGGACCATACTGCTGGAAGTGGCCTCGCTGTCCGCGAACACCGCCGCTCGCACGTCGTAGTGCGATGGAACTCCCACAGGGGGTGCTTCCTTGGTGTCCCCTCTCGAGCACCCCTCAAACACGCCCTTCACCAGCTCCACCTTCGCCCAGAAGAAGAAAAACGGGAGGTGGCGTTTTCGACAACCAAGCAATGAGTGGTCGTTCGCGCAAGGATTCACTAAAAAAAAAAAACAGGTGCTACTGAAGGTCACACATCGACCACCCTCTACTCGGTGTACAGGGAAGTGACCACCTACTGGATACGTAGCGATCCTGCTTCCGAAGGTACGGACACAGGCATGCATAAATACGCGCCAGAAAAACCAGCAACGAAGGCGACAACGCCGACAAGAACAGCAGCCACATCAACAACAGCAACACTGAGACAAAAAGAACGACAAAGAACGTGAAGATGAACAAGACATGAACAAGAACGCGAACAAGCACAACAAGACAAGACCACAACAACAAATAACAGCAGCAGCACCAACATGAACAAGAAACACCAACATGAACGAGAAACACCAACATGAACAAGGCCGGACGACGGCGCCGCGTGCTTTCTCCTCTCACCACTCCCTTCCCCCCGTCTTCGAAGTCCCCAACGGCCACCACCGCCATGCGCTCCGGGTGGTAGTGCCTCGCGTAGAAGGCCCGCACAGTCTCGGGCGGGACTGTCCTGATCACCGACATTAGCCCAATGGGCAGCCGTTCCTCGAATAGGCTTTCGTTTGCCGTGTGTTTGGCGTTTTGTTGGGCAACACGGACGGCACCAAAAGACAGCGTAAGGGGGGCTGATGTACCAGGAAACAACAACAGTTCGATGGTGGTGAGCTCTGCCGTCACCAAGACGCGCAAATCGGCTGTGTGTCGGTTTCTTCGAACAGTCGCGCCAGTTTCGTTTTATCTCATTTTTCAAATCGATTCTTGGGACCCCGAAACGTGGAAATTCGTAGCAAGAAGGGACCGGACAGATGTTTCCAACCCAGTAATAGCAGTAGCCCTTGCAGGCATGGGTTCTTCGAAGAGGCTGGACTCGACTCGACTACAGGACGAAAAATGATAAAGAACGAATAGGCAAGCATGTGAAAAACATTTCGTGTGCAGGTCTTCCTGACCCCATACACACATAAGAGCCAAGCGTGCGCGTCTCCTACATGCGCACGAGCTCGCATAACCTGCACGCATGCATATGTACCTACCTCCCTTTGACGACCAGCTTGAAGAAGTCCTCGGTAGCTCGCTGAGCGCAACCCCTTCCCTGCCTCCACTCCTCCACGACGATCGACCTCTCTCTCTCGACGTCGTCGTCAGACAGGCGCACCTTAAACAATCACCACAACCGAGGGATGCGACGCTCAGCCATCTAGATTGTGGTCGCTGTGCGCAAACAGGTCCGGTAGCCCACAGACGTTGCAACGTGGAAGCGAAGATGTGACGACGAAAATCGTGGACTGGTGCAGCGTCTGGTTGTAACAGAAAGCGCATAGCACAGCTCAAACGAAGACACCGCACAGCAAGATCAAGGCTCCAGTAAGTGACGGGAAACAAGTTCTCATGTGCTTTACAATGGAGTATTGGCAACAGCACGCGTGCCCCTCTACTTGCGACAAAGGGTATCGCATGCCATGCCAAGTGGTCACTTTGCGTAGCACTTGTCGGTGTTGTGCTGGGAATGATTACCGGAACCAGGAGTGCCAACACCCTCCCCTGTCTCAGCCTTGCTTCTCGACCCTCGCCCCGTTGTCGAAAAATCGCCCACTTACGAGCTGGCGTGGCACCCTGAAGGTGGCACCCTGAAGGTCCTCTCCAGCAGCATAACTTAACTCCACAAGTCTGCCGCTGTGCCATGCTCTCTGGCCCAGCCACCCTCTCCCCTCCCCTGAATCGCCTCCCCCCCATCTCCGACACGCCTTCCCGCACCTCTTGCGGCAACACGCCAGCGATCCCGATTCTACTAGAGACTTCTATCCAAGAACCCTCCCCCTGACTCTCGAGGACGCGTGGTCAATGGTCTAACCGCTAAGGCATGCAAAACATATGAGTAAGAGTACGCCCCTGACTTGTACCCCCCCCCTCCCCCCCCCCTGATTTGTACCCCCCCACCCCCCACCCACCCCGACTTGTGCCCCCCTCCCTCCCTCCCCGCCTGCCTCACACCTCGAGCGCGAGTTGTCGGAGAACCCGGAGGCTCCTCTCCAGCAGCACCGGCTGGTCGGCTGGGACGTGCAGCTCGTAAACCGTCTCCTCGAAAGACGTGTAGGCGTTCTGGTGCGCTCCGAACTTGATGCCGTGCGACTCCAACTTGGGGTATCAGAGGAGGAGGAGGGGGAGGAGCAGGAGGCGAAGAGCAAAGTAAAGAGGAACATTTCGACATCGTATGAACATGTATCGGTGTGCATAGCCAAAAAGGTCAGGTCGGATCGGCGTTCTTGTTTGCCCATGTTTCGCACTCGGTTTGGTCTCTGTCCGGACCGGCTTGGTCGTTCGGTCAGCTGTAGAGGGACGCTAACGCCCGTTACATCACGAACCGCACACCCCCATCACGGCAATAGAAAACCTTCCGAAAAACTTGCCTCCTTGACTAGGTCGAACTCCTGCGGACAGGTCCTGCTGGCGCGAAACGCCAGGTGCTCGATCAGGTGCGCAACCCCCCGCTCTTGCTCCGTCTCCATCACGGACCCCACCTGTGTGATGTTGCAATCGACGCGCAAGACTTAGCCCTCTACTTTCAACCAGCGCGATGCAAGAGAGAAGGAGAGGGGGGGGGGGGGGGGAGGCGAACAAAGGAAGACCTTCCCGGCTGTCTTCATCACGGGGATTCCTCATGATTATCGAGACCGGACTCCATTTGTGTTTTCGTGACCAGAGGCTGCCTGCTCTTCATGCCGGGATGATTCCATCTGATTCAAAGGACGGGGTGATTCCATCTGATATTTATGACGGGACGATTCCATCTGATTTCCATGACGGGATGATGCTCATGACGGGATGATTCCATCTGATTATCGTGGCGGGATTCAACCTCTTTCTTGATCAGCGCCCGAGACGAACTTAAACCAGTGGGCGATGCAAAAGTCGATAATTAAAAAAAGAAGAAGAACAAGGAGGAGCCATGTCAAGAAACACGCCTTCACAGTGGACGCCGGAGATGGATTAAGCAATCCCCCCCCCCCCCCTCCCAGTATTTGAGATGGGCGCGAGGGAGTTATGACAATCGAAAACATAAGCCGACCATGTGCGACGAGCGCTTGCGAAGGAGTTCCTCTTTTCGTTCTCCGCGTGTATGGCAACCAATGCATGGCCAGTTTGCTTGTTCTGTACTGCCTTGCGAGTGCGGGTGTCTCGAGAGCTGGACCAAATGTTACGACCGTTGTCGTCTAAAGCCAGCCAGAGCAAAACCACTAATCCCGTCATCATGATAGCCCTGACCTGGCATCGTGCATGGATATGGTCAACATTATACAATCTCGACAGAGGTCTCGGCCGAGCTACCAGTATCGAGGCTTCGGTTGGACCTCATTCGCTAAACCCCTTTGAGCGCGACTTTTATACCTTGATGACGATGCGGAGCTCAGCTCGCTCTCGCGGGTGCCGGTTGGCTCGGACGTAGTACTCCATGCCGTTGGCGAGCTCGCCTGTGTCCGGCAGAAACCGAGAGTACAGGCATCGTCACGGGTACGGAGGGAACGGTTCACAAGTCGGGATGATTCTTCGCGCAAACGCCGGAAGGGTAGTACCTGTTCTTCTCCAAGCACCACGCTACTCCTCGCTAGCCTACATCTGTTGTTGTTGGTTTTCTCTGCTCAGTGCATATCTTCATCCGCCAGCTGCACAATAATAGCACGGTGCCGTGTACGTGCCAGGGTCATGGGAAACGATGGACTGCAGCACGTTCGCTATGGGGGGCAGTAGAAAGTTTACCTGGGCCTGCCATTTGGGCCCTGTGGTATACTATATTGTGGCATACTTGTGGTGCTGTGTGAAGACAGAGGTGGAGAGAAGAGGGGAGTCGGTTCGTCCTCGATGCCGTAGGTAACTTGCACCGAGGCTGTTGGGCCCCAAGCATTAACATGGGTGATCACCGTGGACGATTGGACCAAGAATCTGTGGAATCTCTACTACCGCTCGAAATTCTTGGAATTTTGTTCTCGGGAAATGTCGATGGAGTTGCGTAAATCATCGAGTGCAGGAATCCTCTCAACAATCCCTACAGTCGGCAGCAAATCATCCGAACGCTAACAGGGGCCGTGGCTGGCAAGATAGGGGGGTCAGTTGCGGGAGCTTTCTCAGCGGCAGGCGCAGGTTTGGCGGAGGAAGTGCGTACAGAAATACATGTTCGAGCCTTGAGTTTCAGCAGGAGTGAAAGACGTAGAATTTGCCTCGCCCACTGCTCTCGTGCACATGCTCTAACGCGCTCTCTGCGCCTCCGCTACCTTCATGCCTCCGGCCTCTCGATGCGTGGTACACGTCTGTTCGCGCTCCTTGTTGGCGTTGTTGTTGACTTCACATTAAAAACCGTTACGATCTCTCTACCCAGTACCGCCATCTGTTGTTGACTTCACATTAAAAACTGTTCCGATCTCTCTACCCAGTACCGCCATCTGTTGTTGTCCTCACATTAAAAACCGTTCCGATCTTTCTACCCCGTACCAACATCTGTCCGTATTGATCTAACGCTTGACGCGGTCGATTCCCGTGGTCACAGGCTAACGTACCTTAAAAAAGGTATGTATACTCAAATCCTTGTGCGTGCATTTTTTTTTCAGTGCATCGACCAAGCTACGTACGCCCCCTTGGATAGAACGGCCCAGCCTCCGGATCCCGAAACAGACAACACAAGCATCCCTCCTGCGGTACGTCTCCTTGCGGCGAAGTCCCAAAAACATGCCTGTCTCCGTGTGTGTGGTTATTCAATCAGCGCCGACTGCGCTAATATTTGAGTTGACGTGTTTTTCGATAGTTAACGTACAAGTATCAACCACGCTATCGGCTGGCCAACGAAAAGACGCAAGGATCATGTCTAGCGGGATAAAAACAAAGCGTGTGCGTGTGCGGTCCGCTCTCACAAGCAGCATCACCAAGTTACGAAAGTTGTGTGCCGGATGTCTGCATGTACGTTGGTGCCAACGTGCCAACTTGCCCTTGTTCAGAAACTATGAATGTACATCCTGGGATACGCCTTAACCCCTCACGGCAAGCGGACTAGTCCGAGGTGTGTTGCCAAGTTTGCATGTACCCCGCCGCGACATCTTTGAACACGGTTGCGCACAGCACAGGCTACAATAATGTTGTGACTGCACAGCTACCGACACCATGCATCTATGGTAGGCGAGATTCGCCGACAACAGAAGGATTGCTTACACGACCGACCTGGTTTTTCCTTCCTAGAACATTCTTCTGACAAGAAACACTCCCTGCATCTCTCTATCCTCCTCCGCTCATGCGCTTCCTCCCGCACCTCTCAACGTTGCCTTGTCGAAAGGGACATCAGCGCCTGGGTCAAATGAGACCGGTTCGGGATCTCTGGCGCCTTTGCTGGCGGCCGTCTTCGCCTGTACCGCCGCAGGCCCTGCCTCCCCCACTCGGGCATCGGCACCCTCAGTCCCATCGTGGGTGTGCTTCTGTAGCTCCTCCATGGACCCCACGCTGTTCGCGTTGCGTGTGTTGTTCAATTGCGTAACGAGTCTGCGATGCAGGTCGGCGGGACTGTACAACCTTGCCCCCACCCCATCCCTGCCCCATCCTCCCTTGTGGAGGCCCCCTGTTTGCACCAAAAGTGGTTCTCGTGTCTCGAAATCATCCCGAAAAGTCACATGCACGCCGGCTGGAACCATACCACCCGAGGTGTGGACAGCGCCCTCTTTTGCCCCTCCCCGATACCCCATGACCCCATGCTCGCTGCGGGTTCTGGGCTGCTGCAGGTTATAGGGCCAATTTCAGAGGAAGCGGGGCAGTAAGGAAGGTCGTGAGCATGCGGCCACGGGATGAGGGAGGTCGCCAACAAATCTGTGTGCCTTTGAGTGGAACCTGGAACCCAAAAAGCAGCGCGAAATTTGAAACTTAAATTTAGCGGCACGTAGTATTCATATCATGTTCACCAAATCGGGGTAGATGCATATGGTGCACCGTGGTAAGTCTATTCTGGACATTTCCGGTTTCGGGGATCCCGCCTCAACGGAAAATGTGCTGACGATCGACAATTGCGACGGCAGAAGATCAAGTCGCCATCCCTATCTCGACAATCGGTAAGTTTCACAGCCTGGCGGGTGGAAAGAGCGCGGTGCTGAAGGTTGACTCTTGCCGTCTCGAAAAGTTGTCTGCAATGTGCACCACAATTCCAAGGGCCAGGCACCTCCCCGAAGTTACCACCATTGTCTTTTCAAATACGGGCACAGTCTATAGTAAATCTTCTGTTGTCGCGCATTGCCTGTCCGTACTTGTCTTTGCAGTGGCAACGAAGAGGAGCCTTCTGATGAGTACGCCGGATGTGTCTCGCGCTACGGCGATGCCTGCGAAGCCCGCTACTCCGCGACGGATATGAGCCCAGCGGTAGGTCCGGTCGGCAATGAACGACTCTCCTGCTCGTGCCTGACGACCTAAACGAATAACGGCAGTTGCAGATTGGTCATCGTTTGATCTCGTAGTTGATTGAATGTGCTTGGCATGGATCCACCCCGCTGTCCTTCCCTCTTGACAGCTCACTATTCGTCTCGTGAAGAACACGCGACGCTGAAGCCGAGTTCAGCGCGATCAATGCGTTCTGCTTTTCGGGCGACGGCAGGTGTGCTCTGACAATTGCAACAAGGACCCCTACCAAGCCTTGGTGCTCTTGGGGGGGGTTGCGGGTGTATTTTCTGGGTTGTGTATCCTGATGAGCCTACTACGCCGAGGACTGCAACACACCGTTCCCCGGGGATGCCAGCGCCGCATGCGGGAGCACCACCTTCGACTTTTTCTTTTGACTCTTCCTTTTTCTTTGTACGAAATTGTCAGCAGCGGTGATATGGACACATTACTGTTACGCGATATGATCTAAGCCCATCTACCGCCCACTTGGTACCAATGACACCCAACGGCGAGCGATTGTCGTCGCCCATGTTGCGTCTCAATCTTTGGTGTACCCGAAAAAATCGGTACACGGCCGATCGAGGCAGCGCGAGCCAGAGGGAGCCGCCTTTAATGCAGAAACACTTGGTTGATATACGCTTCCCCCCCAAACGGAACATAAGAAGTGTCTACCGTGCACTTGAATTGTTGAACGTTTGAAATGAGTTGTGCCCGTTGACTGAGAAGCTTGCCTTTTGGGTCGTTACAAACAGAAAACTCGCTTCGCTCGCGACCAGGGGGGCTAGTAGAAAACCGAAGAAACAAACAGAGGTGCCTTCGATGCCCGAACGACGGGGAAAACGATTGCGCCCCCACAATGTTGCTCCTTTGTGATGCTAGCCCCGGAGCGTGCGATAGGGCCGAACGAAAGCAGCAGACCATTGCTGCCCAAACATAGGAAAGAGGTTCGAACAGTCTACACTCTCCGGGATTTTTCGCGCTCCCAACATGCATCGTCTATTTATGCAATATGTGCTTCCTTCTAGTTCATCCGCTATTAGCTCTTGTGCGTTCCATCGGCGAACAATCGCATTGGGTGGATGACACACCATGCAGAGAATAGAACAACACGACCGACCGATGTCTCTACTCGTGCACATGCCGTCGCTCGCACTCACTACATACACATGGTCGTGCTCGACGGGCGTCGTCACTTTCCGCCTCTCCGTTGTCTCCCAACGACGCCACGAGTAGGCGATCCTCACGGTTTCAGCGGGCAGAAATTCGATTTCAAGGGGGAAGGCGAAGGCTGGTACGTGGTCCTCTCAAACCCGACCCAACATCCACCTCAACATGTGCAGAAGCGCACCCGTCCCGTCGGTGCCCGAGATCACCTAAATTACTGGATTCTCCATCAAACCACCGACACCGAGAGCGTGGACCACACAATCGTCACCTCGGTCGCCAACCCGCACAGCCTGGACAGCAGCTGTCCCGTAGGAGTGTCGTCTTGTCTTGCCGAGGGTGCGCTGAGTGTAGAACTCGACCGCAAACCCGCTCTCCTTGCCCCCGGGGAGGTTAGCCTCGGCCCCGGCGTGTCGATTTCGGCGGTCAACCTTCCCGGGGCCTGCAGGAGCTTTGGTTTCGAGAAGTGAGAAGGCACGGAAGAAGTGCAACCGTTACAAACGCATGCAGCGATATTACAAGATCATGGGAAATGACGATGAAGAGAGACGGCTATAGGATCCACGCGCGTGGGACGGTGATGAGTCGCTAGCTCGCATTCCGTACCAAGTCCGCCCCGTGCGTAAAGTGGCATCAAAGTTTCTTCACGCGTCTTGGTTTGCCGTGCAAATCCTGAAGGCACCGGGAGTGCAAGAAGGCCGACTACTGCTGGAGCCGGCCGTTTGCTGTGGGACTTCGACGTCATGCAAGATATGGCAGAATGGATCCTTGGTGACCCCACCGCCCCCAACATGGATGAGTGCATCGAATATGTGACCGGGGAAAGGGCGCCGGTCAACGACGACGGCCGCTTTGGCACACGACTCGGAACATGCGTCGTTCCAAATCACGACTCTGGTTAGAAGGATTCGCTTCAGCCACGGTCGCCTGCACCAGCTTGCTGTGCGTGATCCAACGGACCTTTTTGACATTCCTGGCCACATCACCTAGCAACAACGGTGTGAGCCTAGACGCTACAGGGATCCTAGGCGAGACACTAGTGCCGGCGCTCGACGGCAGTGGGAACCCCATCACGTAGGGCATGGAATCCATTCGCGGGTCGAAGGAAGACTGTAAGTACCAAGTGCAACACAGAGCGTGTTCAGAGTGCCTTCAAGTTCGGAGTGCCTTCAAAAAGCTGCGACATCGGAACACCTGGACACCACGGAAATGTGATACTTTTCAATGAACAGAACAAGCAGCAGGCGAGAGGGAGGTTGAAAAAACAGACGCAGGTCAGGGATGCCTAATGGCCAGTGTCTCCACGAACAATGCCAATTTTTTTAATTTGCGCATATGCCCTTCACGCTGTGGTCTTGGTTTCTTACTCTGTCACAATCTGTGGAGACCACCTTCATAAAGGTAGAAACTCCCCAACGTCTGTCGAGGACGATTCCCTCTTTTCACAATGGCGTCGACGTGAGATGTCAGGGTGTCTGCTTTTGGTTGCAAAAGACACGGGTTCAAAACCCGCTGGTCACTAAATTTTCTTCCGGATAACGGAAAAAGAAAAACGGTGGGTGGGCCAAGGGAGGACGCACTGGCTATCGAACTCGGAACTTCTGAAAACGTGGCGGACGTAGCGAACCCGTAAAACACGTACAGAGGATTGTGAGGAATGTGAATCGCCCCGCCGCCAGCCGGTCGGGTTCCGGTTACCCCAAGAAGACTTCTCTTGCCTGGGCAACAAGAAAAAGTCTCGAAAAAAGGGGGGGGTAATGTGGAGACCACCTTCATAAAGGTAGAAACTCCCCAACGTCTGTCGAGGACGATTCCCTCTTTTAGAACGTGCAACAACATCGCCAAAACTGAAAACTGAAATTATTCTAAAAAATCAGAAAGCAGAAACAAAAGACACCCTAACCATCGCTTCCGCGCCCTTCTAACCCTGTAGACTAGTGATTAAACACAACAACCATGCTGTGTGCGTGAGATCTCCATTCAAAAAGGAGTGAAAAAGAGGCCGTTCACCTCCGCGTATCTTATCTTGTCTACTTCGTCACCTGGGATACGAAGAAAATGGCGCTTTGTTGATCAGGAAAAAAGAAGAAAGGTGCAACCATCATTTTGAAAGAAAATGCATCGTGTTCTCTATCCCCGATCCCCGCTTTATTCCCGACAAACCACATACTGTACGGACGCTCCTCAGATCGTGTCGAAGGCCCCCTGGGAACCACGCTCGCCGAGACCTACCATCGCGAGTAGTGCAACCGTCCTGCTGGTGATTCAGCCAAAGTCTGAACGGCGTCACCCAGGAGAACCGATCCCGGCCTCGAAATGGCAGACTTGATGGTCCGCGATCTCTCATTTTGCTGCCATTTTTGGCTCCTCGCCTGAACCATGTGCTTCCATGATATATGGAGAACGCAGGCAGGAGCACCTTGATTTTGGTGCCCCTTTCACTTTTCTGGATACTTTTGTGGGAAATTCTTGTACGTACGAGGTAGGTGGAAACCCGCCGGCGAATCCACGCTGGCTATGTAGGAGGGTCCAAAGGATAGAGCCATGCCGTTTTCCGTTTTTGCGATGTTCTTGCATTGGCCTTGATGCACTTTTTTTCTCAGTCGTTGTTCGTTGTGTTTTAAGTACGTTGTTATTGCGTTGGTTGCCCATACTGAGAAGGATCGGCTGGGTCTCGCTCGCTCGCCCGATCTCTCGAGTGGGCCACATGAATTTGAAGCAGTTTTGGTCCTTGAACGGCTGACAGCTTCATTTTGTTGCGTAGACTATCCTTCATTCTGCCGAACAGATCGGGGGGGGGGGGGGGGCTCCGCTTCGCCTTTTACAACCTTGACCTACGAAGGCCAAGCGCCGTCACGTTAAAATTAGAATCAAAAGTTAAATGAGGATCCTGGTTGGTCGAAAAGTCATTCCCCCGCCCCCAGCGCCACTGCTAGGGCTTTGGTAAAACGGAGCGATGGCACACGGTTCCCTTATTCATGGCGGTCATTACGGCACGAAACTCGATACGACTGTTGGTTTTTTCCCTCCCATTCCTATTCTTGACGGACAGAATGTTGGGTGTTCCCCCCTAAGTCGGCTAATCCCACGATGCGGATTTTCACCTAGACTCGGGTGGACGATGAATGGTTCATGATTCGGCCGCTGAGCGACCACACTGTGTGGGTGAGCCTGTGAAACGGACACTTGCTCCGGAATAATAAAAGTACTCGTCTTGTGTGCATCGCCCTCTTGCGCGCCTCCCCGGTGGGCATGTGCACAATTTCGCGTCATTGTCATGAGCGAGGCTTCCCCCAAGAATATCTTTGTGAGTACTCCCCCTACACTTCCCGCTGTTGTACGTCCATACGTTAGGAGGAAACCCAACTATTATGCGGCTGACACTACTACTACCGCTCTGCTGGCTTCAAAGTTGGAAGGGAGTGCCCGAAGTCCCGTCCGGACACCCGAAAGCCCGAGCAACCTCTACATCGATCGTTTTTTCTCAGACTTAAGGAGTGATGACCGCACCGCTGATAAAGACGGAAGAATTCCGAAAGTCATCCACCAGGGGGTTGAAACCGCTGAAGGTCCGAGTACAAGGTAGATCGGCGAACTCCCGCAAGAAATCCCCCTGCTTCACGACTAAACCCCTTCCTCTCCCAACTCTCTCCTGTCTACGACCGGTTTGGCTACCGACGGTTCCCCCCGCACTGCATATCGCTGAGTGCAACCGCGACAGCCTGTCAAAAGATGTCGGGAAAAAAATGTCAGCCGATCCCAGCGGGACCATGTAGGTGGCGTGGTCTGTTACGACCCCGCTCACAGGATCCCGGCTGGACACGATAGGAGCCTGAAACGCCGTCAGCGACTCGTCATTCGTCGCTGTTTCGCCTGCTGACCCGGCTGCTCCACCTACTGCAGTCAACGAAGGTCCTCCACCCATTCCCGCGCTGTCGGCGAAAGAGTCAAAGTCGGCCAGGATAGCGCGATGCCGGGGCATCCGCGCTCGAAGGCCTTGCACGAGACGCAAATATCCCGTCGGTATGAACGCCGCACAGTGCTCTGGTTTCAGGTCACCTCTGCCACCGCCACCACCGTTGGAAAAAAACGCGAACATCTTCGCAAAAGGACTCGCGGAAGGTGGCTCCGATTCCGTCTCCCTTCGATCCCGTATCATCGCCGCTAGTTCGGGGCAAACCGTCAGCAGTTGACGGATTAAAGTGTCTCGCACGGGTCGAAACATCTCTCGAAAACCACCCCCGGGGGTTTCCACCACCACTGTCTCGCACAGCTGCGGGGTTCCAGCATCACCTTGTTCTTCCGTGGAACTAGGCGCCACCCACGCTATTTTGTCGTGGGGGAGGTTGTCCAAAAGCTCCATGCCGAGGAAGAAGCACGGACGAGGGTCCACCTCACCGGACATGCCCCATTCCAAGACGTTGGCGTTGACGACGCGGCAGTTCTGCAAGAATTTTGCGAACGGGGGGAAAGTGTCACGACAGGGAGGGGCGTACTACACGTGTCAATGCTTTTGCTAGAATGTCTACACGACACTCGCTCACGATCCTGGTCAACAGTTAGAGGATACATCTCGTGCCAACAACACAAACCAGCCATCCTTGTGTGTCCCCGTGCCCGTCCGTGGGCAACCAGGCGTCCTCGTGTCAATAACAAGACATACGAGAAGAACACATACTGAAGGACACACCAAATGTTTCCTGTCACGTACTTTCGGCGAGTCGGGATCGGTGCGGCACAAGTCCCTGGAATCAAGGTGGGTTCGTGATAGCAAAAAGGTCCATCGCCAATGGCGATCAGAGGTCCGCTCTGTTGGACTACTCCAATGTCTGTCATGCATATTGTGCAGGATTTGTATGCTGCAGTTGTGTACATTCGGTCCATAGCACCTCGCGGTACTTGAAAACCGGCGAAGGTTTACCGTCCTATCCGTCTTGCATCGGCAGCTGGAACGGTGTTGTTCAATGGACGTGTAGGGAAATCAGCCTCGTCTATTCGAATGTAAACCAGTCCGATTTATCCTTCTCCCCGAAACTTATGATGTTGGTTCGCCCATGCGATGCTCAACCGCACCCGATCACTCTCTCTCTCGCGCGCGCGAACTCTCGCACAAAACGCCCAACCCTGGGAGAATCTACAGGCCCTTCGCCTCGGCCTTATTTCCACAGAGACCGACCCCCCCAAATATACTTGAAGGTTCTTCTGCACAACAAACGCGTTGGCAACAGCCACAATAATCCTCTGCACCCTGTTAACGCACCGCAGTTGCCACACTGCACAATACACTAAAAAAAGCCTTAGATAACTACCATTTCCACATTTCCCTCCAAGCAAAGAAGCCCCTTTCACCTTCGCTGGCTGCGACTGTCGCACTACTGCGCAACTTTACGGAAGTTGCACCATTTTCACCATCAAAACTTTACCCTCCGTTCCACGCGCCCCCCGTCAAACCTCTCGCCGTCTCACCTCATGAACGCTGCACACTCTCTCCGTCTGTAGCTCCGCCAATCGTGGGCTGATCTCGACGATCGTGTACTCGGTTCGCTCGTACAGCTTCGGCTCCTGCTGCTGCAGCCAGTCCAACACGTTCAACGCATTCGTTCCTGTTCCGCCTCCGGCTTCGTACACAACCAAGCTTTCTCCTTCGCCCCCAACGCAGGCGCCGGCGCCGGTGCCTTTGTTCCGCCCCTGAGCTAGCTTGCGTCTGCGAGGAAGCGCATCACCAGCCCCGTTCGCTCGCTCCGACGATGCCGTCGAAGTCTTCTTCGCCTCTTTCGTCATCCATCTCGCCAGAGCGTGCGAAAAGTGCGGGGAAAAGGTTTCCACCGGAGTCATCCACGCGGAAAGCTTGGATTCATATGCCTATGAACAGCAGTCGTGTTTGCCGGGCGTCGTGGGTGTCGTAGGCAACATGGATGAGGCAAAGTCCGTCAGCGTAATCCTCCAGACCTGACTGCTTGTGGTTCGTACAAGCTCGTGCGATGTGCTACAGTACGTCACGGCCCTCTGGAGATGTCTCCGTCGCTTTGGCTCGTTCGCTATGCTATGTAGCAGCACGATCGAATAAACAGGCCAAAGGAGGAACACAATCATACAAACTAATGATGCGGTTGTGTCACGATCTGCGACCCCCTGATGGAAAAACAAAAACAGAAGCAAGACACTCGGTATGGCCCGGAGCAGGCGCTGGATTGCTGATGATCCCATGCACCCGCGGGAGTATCCGGAAAACCGACGGTTGGAGAAATTCAGCAGACCACACAACAAGCAAGCTGAACATGCTGCTGAGCACCGAACTCTGCCTTGTACCTTTTTCACATCCATGCGGTAGTGGAGCTCGCCCATCATGTTGCGGAACTCCAAGGGCCCTGGCAGGTCGTTGATCACATCCTTCGTGGCAAAGTACCCATTGTCCTGGTTGTACAGCGATTTCGCGATGAAGTCTCTCGTGAGCAGGCCGCTTGGTTGATGGGTCTCTGCCCACCTCTCGACATCATGCTTGCCGCCGGAATCATCAGCTTTTTTCGCAGTGTTGATGTGACGCCTGAGAGATGCGGCACGACGCCTGTGCAATCTGGCCAGCGGGACATGAGTAACCTGGTTACGCATCGTCACCACACGACCGACGCCCGCTACTGTGCTGTTTCACTGCGCAAAACGCAACACAAGCGAGGGAGGGGATGATGGCATTGTATCCCCCCCCGGCGGGACGCCGCGCGGACCTTCTCGAACTCCCTTCTGCAGTCCGCGGTGCCCCCGATGAACCTTTTGTGACCGCTGACGGCGACGGTAGCCGACAGTAGGTCGGAGTCCACCACTCTCCTGCTGCTGCTTTGACACATAACCTGACCGATCCATTAATCGTGCTTCCGCAAGAAGAAGGTCCTATCAAGCAGCCAGGTTTGCTCAGCTGGGCTTGGCTGCAGAGAGCAACGCTGTTCAACAGCAGTACAAGGAGGTGGACTCGCAACATGCCGCACCCGCCAGCGCTGAGGATGTGCCAATCCTTGCCGACCGCCCTGCTGTCCTTGGCGTACTTAACGGCAAGCAGCACTACCGCTTTCGTGCTTGGCCCCTTGCGCGCGTCACGTGTCACATCCGCCAGTAATCGCCGAGCCTTGCTTCCAGCAGCAGCCGCCTATCGACGATTGACCTCTGCTTCTCAGCATCAGCAGCGACCGCAGCGGCGCTGTCCGACCTCCACGCGTCTACTAGCGGGATCAGCATCATCAGCGTTGACGCCAACAGCGCCACAAGCTGGCCTGCGCAAGGCAAGGAGCAGTAGAAGTGGTGGGGTTCGCTCGCTGAAGAGCGTGGCTGCTCCGGCGGGTCTGGAGAAAGGCGTCTCCGCCCGTGGACTGGGAGAGCTGTTAGAGGCAAGGAACGGGGTCAACGAGCGCTTCGTCTTCTTCGGCGGCAAGGGCGGTGTCGGCAAGACGTCCACGGCCGCCGCCGTTGCGATCCAGTGTGCTGATGCCGGGCTAAGGTGAGAGGTGTGGGCCTTTGTGGATGGGGCGGCGATCGTGCGAGAGAGAGAGAGAGAGAGAGAGAGAGAGAGAGAGAAAGGTTGCGTGAGATATTTTCATGTTGCAAGTTGATGTTGACATGTACAGCAGTATTAATATAATAGTAGTTTGGAGCGGCACACGACCAACTTACACCAGAGGTTCTCGAAGGGTTTGGCGTTCCTGTAGCTCTCTCGGCCGTACGACCGATACTCAAGCGAAGCGTGTGCTGGTTGTGTTGGGGAGCGCTCAAAGCCCACCCTAGCACTAGTGGCACTCGCGTAGTTTGGGCTTAGTATAATCAGCCTGCTGCGACGCGCTTTTTGTTCGCGCGCAACTTCTTTCGCAATATTAATATTCCTTGTAGGCTACACTTGCTTGGACTGGTGCATGTAGCACGTCTACCGTACGACCGATACTCGAGCGAAGCGTGTGCTGATTGTGTTGGGGAGCGCTCAAAGCCCACCCTAGCACTAGTGGCACTCGCGTAGTTTGGGCTTAGTATAATCAGCCTGCTGCAACGCGCGCTTTGTTCGCGCGCAACTTCTTTCGCAATATTAATATTCCTTGGAGGCTACAACTTGCTTGGACTGGTGCATGTAGCACGTCTACCTCTCCGTACATCTGGATGCCAACTTCCCTCGTCATTGTCGTGCCGTTATTGCTTTTTGGTGTGCACTCAAGTCAGCAATCGTGCTGGCATACATGCGACAGACGGACTAGGTGTCAGATTCGACCCGAATCACTCTTGTTGCCGTGCTGTGGCGGAACCGCCCTTCTTTTTTTTTTTTGTGCGCTCGCCGGCGCCGTTTTTGAACCCAGGACGCTGGTCATCAGCACCGATCCGGCGCACTCCCTGGGCGACGCGTTGGACCAGGACGTTTCCGGTGGAGAACCCGTGAGGATCATCGGCTTGGACAACCTCTCGGCCATGGAGGTGGGTGGGTATGTCCGTGCCACCTTCTCCCTGAGCCCCCCGCACCTCATCGTGGCAAGGGGGCGCCCGGCGTGCCAGCACACAAAGATGCCTGCCCCAAAGATGGAATCAGCAGGCGGGGGATGGGGGGTCGTAAAACAAGTTACAGATATGTAAAAGCTTCCCCACAGTCTCCAGAATTTTCCTGAGGCTGTAAGAAAACCACGCACTGATTTTGTCCATCTGTCGCGTCAGCTGTCGGGTAGAGGCGGGCCTCTCGTGTCGAACAGCCCGGCAGAAGACGTCAGCTTCAACCAAAAACGTACGCGGTGACAAGCTGTTTCTGATCTGATGTTGAACCATGTGTCAACACATGCCGACACATCAGCTGAGCGTTGGCGCGGCAGCTGTCAGAGCGGCTGTGGAGCGAGCGCGTACGTGTGGGCGGGGCACGAGAGGGAAAAAGAGAATACAGCAGTAGCGTTCCCAGCGTACATGCAGAAAGGCGGTACAAACCGAAGCAATTTCAGCTGTTTTTTTTTTTTCTGTTCAGGTCTGGCTGTCTTCTGTCATATCTGTCATACGGGGGAGATGTTCTGGACTGCTGTCTGTCTCATCTCGCCTCTTCCCCACCGGATTCTTGAGACATCACGATGCTACGGTCACTACCTGATACTGTTCGCACGCTGGAAACGCGCATGTACATGGATAGTTTGTTCTTCGTTGCCCTTTCGAGGGTGTGTGTGTGTGTCTTTATTATTAGCATCGACCGCGCTAACCGGCTGACCAATGAAAAGCGCGTGTGTGTGTGCGTGAAGAAAAAAAAAAAAACACACACACACACGGCTTGACGACGCCGCTCAATCAATTCGTCTTCTGCTGATGGCCATGAATGAACTACACACAAAATCAGCCCCCAAGTATGTATATAGTTTCCAGCAGCAGTCGAGCAATGTATATGTCGTGGCGGTGTCAGCAGAGATGCAGAGCAGTGCACACATCTCCGTGCAGACCGCTGAGCCCGAGGTCGGGAGGTCGGCATGCACATGTACACATCCGCGCGGCTGCGGGCTTTCAACCAAACAAAATCCAGAAAATATGTAGCCAAATTCCTGCAGGATTATCTCTTTGACAGCAGGCAGTATCGATGAGAAAGCTCGCGCCGACCTCCCAAAACTGGCGCGAACTATTTTTTCTTGGTGCACAGCTAGCTTTGGTAGAGCAGGATATAAGCATGGATCTGTTTTCCTATGTTTGTTTTTTGCATATTCTTGCATCACCCCTTGCCGCGGTGCTCTCTTTACCCCACTCCGGAGGGATGCCTTGTACACTCTAATGTTTTGCAAGCCTTCGCGGTTAGGCCATTGCACGTGCATCCTCGAGAAGACGGAGGAGGTAGCATTTAGTACTTTGATCAGGAGGTCCCGCAAAACATGCTTTTTTTGCCACTCCGGGCTATTTAGAAAGGGAACACTGACCGTTCCCCGACGGGGTCCCGGTACTAATTCCTTTATTTTTACCAAACTGGGTAGCAGGGCGTGCCAGGTAGCTACTGGGCGTCATGGGTTTCCATTCGTGCGCCCCCTTGTTGTGCCACTCAGAGGTCGTGTTTCTCCGCGTACACCATGGGAAGTTACTATTATATGTTTGCCTTTGCGCATTTGTCACGAGGTTTCAATATGTTTCCCGATCGGGGTGTGTCGTCATTTGTTTGACGCCCACTGCTTTCCTTGTTTTCCGAAGTCAATGGTCTAACGAATACGGCGTGCACCGCTACTAGTACACCCCCCCCTCGTCTTCCCCTCCCCCTTCGCTGAACACTCACGCCATCCATCTCTTGGTATCTTCGTACATAGTGTGTGCCCATTCTGAATTCCGAGAAGTGTTTTTGAGCTAGTTTCCTCTTCTATGGAGTCACCGATTCTCAACATCATGAGTTTCATGCTTGCACCTCCAAGTTCAATTGTTTGTTGTACATCCTCTCTATCCCTCCCCCGTTTGCTGTCTGCCGCGTGAAACAACGTGATACAGGTGGATACGGTCGAAGCCGTCAAGGAGTTCGAGGAGGCCTTGTCCTCCTTTGACATATCGGGGATGGCTGAGGAAATGGGCGTGCCTAAGGACATGGTGGAGGTATGCATACGACCGTTCTTTTTGCGTGTTTTTTCCCGATTGAGGAGGCAGTACGCCACCGTACAATACCAATTATTATCTCCTCTGTTGCTGTGAATGTCCGTCCCACATGACAGTTTCGGCTTGAATCGTGTTGGCGTTTCTGATATTTCGTTCTCTCGTTTCGAGGGCGGCCAGAGAGAGGGAGGGAGTTGGTGTGCGTGAAGAATATGGCGAGGGGTATGATATGACGACTCAGGCGCGACATGCCTTTCTCCTTCATACATGTGATATCGACGTCCAATGCTTTCGGCATTACGGCGTATGCGTAGGATATTTTGGTGTTTTAAAGGAATGTTGGAGGAGGAGCGCTTTTGTAGTCACGGGAACAACGGAGGGACACTGTCCGTGCGCAAAGTCCTCTGTTTATTGCGTCTAGGCGTGGTTAAGGGGGGGGGGGGGCATCACGTAAGACTGTGGGAGATGAAGAACTTCAGGCCTGACAAAGGTTCTCAGAACCCTACTCCAAAACCTACACAGACCGCTTGTCGCGGTTGTTTCCGCAGCAATAACTGAGAGGACGAGCCTCGCACTTGTTCTTAGAACGAAACGGTGATGCTACCTGGATGCAAGTACACCCACAGATACAGGGCATCTGCATGTTTTATTCCTTGTGTTTTCGCCATACGATGCTTGGGGACGAACGGAGTCGGGAGCACGGTTTCTCGCGTGCCCGGCAGATGAGTGGTATTTCACGCACCACCGGAGGGGGTAAAGTAAAGCTGCTACACAGAGGTTTTTCGCAGCTTATCGCCCCTTTGACCCTGGTGGCCGCATTGTCTCCGCCGCCCCCCCCTTTGCTCGTCGCTTGGCTGGTGTTGTTTTGTCCTGCCAGAGCCTCGGTCTTTCGGAGTTCAGCGAAGTGTTGGCCAACCCGCCCCCGGGGATCGATGAGCTGGTTGCTCTCTCGAGGGTTCTCAAGCTGGCCCGTTCCGAAGAGTGAGTGCAGCAAATGGAAATTGGCGGAAGTGCCCTCTTTCATGCAGACTGTTTTCTCTGTCTGTCTGTCATTCTTGCACTTTCTCTCTCTCTCTCTCTCTCTCTCTCTCTCTCTCTCTCTCTCTCTCTCTCTCTCTCTCTCTCTCTCTCTCTCTCTTCCCCNCTCTCTCTCTCTCTCTCTCTCGTTCTCTCTCTTCTTCAATAGTAGTCGTGGTGTTTGTTGTTTTCCTGGAATCGAAGTATCACGTTGTCGCTGACTCCTTGCTGGCAACGAAAGCGCAGCACGTCTGCGTACACATCGCGGCACGAGATTATGAAGTTTGTTCGTTGGCTGACGGTGTGTTGTTTCCTGGTGATTTTGTTGTTTTTTCTTACAGCAACCAACGAAACGCACCTCTTGATTGGGGTCCAGGGCACACTAACGATCAACCCATGTAGTGTCATGCGACCCCCGCCTGTGTGAGTGTTTCCACCTTCCCTTGGCATCGGCATTGAACCTGTTCGACAATAACTTTGCAAAGTAGTTATGTTTATGTTCCGTTCCATCGACGAGTACGGCCATCCCCCAACGAACACCACCGAAACAAACGTGCCGTTTCGTTAATGCATGCGTGAACAGGCAGAAGTTCGACCGCATCATCATCGACACCGCGCCAACGGGCCACACGCTGAGGCTTCTCGGCTTCCCCGACTTCCTCGAAAACTTCTTGGAAAAGGCGAGAGGCTCGCTGTCCTTCTCGAAAATGACGGTGGCGACAGGCCCGGCGATTTTGTTACCGCCCGCTACAGCCACAAGCACTATCACGGGCGCCGCGTACACCGTCCCCTTGTCTGTGGCTCTCAGTTCGTTGTGCACAGCATTTTTTCGATATTTCCTGTGACAGAGGCTATATCTCGCGCCACAATGCGAGCGACGAACCCGTGACATATGAGCTCGCGCTGCTACTAACAGGTGATCCAGCTCCGCGGGAGGATGGGGGGTATCCTGAACCTGCTGACGGGTATGTTCGGGGGCGGGACTAACGTGGTGGAGAAGGCGGACATGGCCGTCGAGAAGCTGCAGGGCTACAAGGAAAGGATGGTGAGTTCGCCGTAGGCTCTGGTTGCCATTGGCACTGTGTCGTCGAAGCGCGTTCATGTGTGTGTTTTCTTGAGGGTTCATGGCGTAGCACTGCTGGGTGGAGCGGCAAGAAGGCACGGCTAGTGTGGGAAAGGGCGAGTGCCCCTTGATGGCGAGATTGCGAAAACTACAGGCTTATACATCAGCAGGGGACGGCGACGTCCGGTTTTCCTGTGGCCGCCTGGTGTGCGTTCTGTTCATGTACTATTATACTATGCGGCTGTAAGCAGGTGTAGGAGAGCACTAGACCTGCGGGGCAACGTCACTACAAGTACGAGCGTTCTTCGCTACCCCTCTGCCGCATGATGGCTGTTGACTGTCATAGTTGGTGTTTCTCTTGTGATCATATTTTTTCAATGTTCCTTGTTCCCCATCATTTTTCAACTCTATTTTTTTTCCCATTGCCACCCCCCCCCCTTCCCCCCCCCCGGTGTTTGCCATCGGGGTTGGGTTTTCGTCGCTTGGCAACGATGTTGTACAACAAGTCCCCCCCTCGGTGTTTGTCATCGGGATTGGGTTTTCGTCGCTTGCCAACGACGTTGTAAAACAAGCCAATCAACTTCGTGAACTCGGCAACCAGGTTACCGGGTTTTTTTTGTACCTCTGTTTTTCTTTTTTGCGATAACCATGAGTGGTGGTCGAGTAGATCATTTTTTGCGGGGTCGAGAGCCCTCACTCCGCGCAAGGGGGATGGCCGCACCACGTTGTGTTTAATTGGTCAAGCACCCTCGAGGCAGTTACACAGTGCTCATAATGTCTCTGGAAGTGAAAGCACCAGAAAATAAATTAAGTCATACGCAGCCGTCATCCGTACGCAAGGAAGTAAGCACAAGATGCCGAACACCCTTAGCAGGATGCAGCGCACCCTTCATGCGACTCGCCGAATACCTCACGGAGCTTCGCGCTTGGTGATGTGAATCAATTGTTCGGTGAGAACCCGGCGTGCTCCGTTTCGGCTTTGTAGGGATGCGAGGTCAATGGTCTAACGACTACGGCATGCACGACTATGAGTACCCCCCCTCCCCCTCCCTTCCTATTGTGTTTTCCTCGTCCGGTCCGTTTTCCTGCTTGCATTTCCTTCGTGCGCTTGGTCTTCTTGTTTTTTGTTCTGTCCCCCACCTACCCACCCCGCGCCTCCTGTTTTCTAGATGGAGCTGAGGGACCTGTTCAAGAACCAAGACGCTACCGAGTTTTGCATCGTGACCATCCCGACGCAGCTGGCGATCGCGGAATCGAAACGCCTTCTGGAAGCGTTGAACACCCAGGGCGTCGCGGTCCGCAACATCGTTGTCAACCAGGTGTGTGGTGTTCTTTTTACTAGCATCGACCACGCTAACCGGCTGACCCATGAAAAGACTTCAGTCTCAGTGTGGTTGAAAACACATAATGCTTCCAACGTCCACAATCTGGGAGCCTATGTGGTGTGCTTGTGTGTGGTTGATTGATTATTTTGTCCCACCTCTGGATAGTTTGTGTTTGGCCGCAGGACGCTGAGGTCGGGGGGTGGTATTGGTGCCGTGGATCATGTTTTAACCCTTTGACTGGATCGTGTTTTTAACCCTTTGACTGTCTGTGCTATCCTACGCACATGATGATGAAGAAGAAGTCGGTGAAACTCACTGTTAGAAGAAGACATCCAACCACGGATCTTGAAAGCATTCCATTGGTTAACACCCTCGAGTTGCGCACCTCTCCGGGTGGTATAATGTCGGAAAACGCTGTTGGCCGATTGGCACCCCCCCTACGTTCGGAGCCAATCACATTGCAGCAGTGTGTACGCCGGAGTCCTGGAAAGGCACACCCCCGCAATGTACCCCCCCCCATAATCGCACCACGTTGTGTTGAATTGGTCAAGCACCCTCGAGGCAGTTACACAGTGCTTACAACTGTCTCTGGAAGTGAAAGCACCAGAAAACAAATTAAGTGATACGCAGCTGTCATCCGTACGCAAGGAAGTAAGCACAAGATGCCGAACACCCTTAGCAGGATGCAGCGCACCCGTCATGCGACTCGCCGAATACCTCACGGCGCTTCGCGCTTGGTGATGTGAGAGCCTGGTCCGGTGAGAACCCGGCGTGCTCCGTTCCTACTTTGTAGGGATGCAAGGTCAATGGTCTAACGACTACGGCATGCACGACTACGAATACAGCTCCTACCCCGTCCACCACTCACGATGGTGGTTTTTATGGTTATTTGCAGATCGTGAGCCCGGACTCTGGCCCCGAGTACGTGGCACGGCTCCACAAGGGTCAATCCGCATGTATCGGCAGGCTTCAGAAGCTGGCGGACGGTGCGGCGGGGGGGGCGGCAGATGGGGCACTCGATATCAGCCCGGTGCCGTACTTCGACATGGAGGTGGCTGGGGTCTACCCGCTTAGGTGAGCCACCCTTCGTCAATGGTCGGTCGATCTCGAGTTGTCTCGATGTTTGTGTCGTTTGCTTGTCTCGATGTTTGTGTCGTTTGCTTGAATGAAGCGATCTCGTGCAACCGCAATGCCATGTATAGAACGCGGGCGTCCCGTACTGGGCGCTCGCCAAGAACCGATATTAGAAGTTCGCATAACTTTTTGATGGTGCCCCCGTCGTATTGTGTTGCGACCAATGAAAAGACCTCCCGTGTTTTGGCGTTTGTCAAACCGATCGGCTTCCCCGGCACGTCAATTCGTTGCACGGTATTTTGATCCCGTGATGGTGCATGTTACTTTTGTCGTTTATCGATGTGTTGGTGATCCATCGATCTACAGTGCCTTCTCCAACCGGGCATTGATCCGACGACAGGTACCTGGGCACCGCCGCGTACGGCGGCGGTAACGAGGGCAACTGGAAGCAACTCTCCTCCGACGCCGAGCAGCGCTTCATCATCCTCGGCGGAAAGGTAGACAAACGACCCCCTTTTTGCATTCCGTGGATCTGCGGTTGGTCTTGTTGTTGTTGTTGGTACGGTAATTACTGTTGTTGTTGATGTCATCGTCCTCGTTGTTGTTTTTTTTGTTTATTTTTCTTAATATGACACAACGAATCCATCTCTATCATAGAAAAGAGTCAGAGACAGATTAGCAATGAATTCAGCGTCAGAAAAAGCTACCTGTATGTCTACGATTTCCCGGACAGCATATAGGGACATCTTTTTTGTTTTTGTCGTTGCTATGGATTATGTTGCTGTTGTTGTTGTTGCTGCTGGTATACTGCTACTGCTACTGCTGCTGATGTTGCTGCTGTTGCTGGGGTTGGTGTTGTTACTGGTGGTGGTGGTGGTGTTGTGTTGTTACCGTTGTTGGCACGGCAGTTGTTGTTGTTGTCGCCGTCGTCGTTGTTGTTCTTGTTGTTGTTGTTGTGGACTATGTTGCTGTTGTTGCTGTTTTATTGTTGGTTGTTGACGACTTGTTTGCTCCGAAACTGCTGTTGCTTTCGCTTCTTCGCTGCGTGGGCCGTGGTGGTTCTCCCTTATCACACCTTCAGGGAGGCGTCGGCAAGACCACGAGCTCCTCGGCCCTCGGCGTTAAGATGGCCGACGACGGTTACAAGACGGTCATAGTCTCCACGGACCCCGCACACTCCCTGGGAGACGCCCTGCAGATGGAACTGAAAGGGGGAAGGCTGATGCCGGTGAGCATGAGCCAAGGGGCGGTGACAACAATGGCTGGGATTTGTTTTGGGGGGGAGACGCGGTAGAGATGCAAGATTTGTCTGCGTCTTCTGCTGTTGAGGGGAAGGGCAAGAGGGAGAGGGGCGGTGCACATTTCGTAGGGGTAGGGGGGGGGTGTCGTAGTTGGGAGTGGTTCATGGTGTTGCCGGTGGGCGTGTTGGTGACGTTGCTGTCGTTTCTGGCGCTGGTGTTGGCGTTGTTTGTTTACGTGCGGCGGAATAAGACTGGGTGTGTGGCCTCAGTGACCTGCCTGCTGCCGCTATCCCGTCTTCCACCTCTCCCGCCGCAGTTTCATCCCGCAATATTTGCATGTATTATTGTTGTAGGTTCCACGTCATTGTCTTGGATTCTTCTTGGCCCTTAGTGCTGACGCTGTGCCGGGTTTCGTTGGCAGGTGGCAGGCATCGTCGGGACGGGGTCTCTTCACGCGCTCGAGGTGGACACGGAGGGCGCCGTTCAGGAGTACAAGGAGGTAATGTTGTTGATGATGTCGTTGTTGCTGTTGTTGTTCTTGTTCTTGTTGTTGTTGTTGTTGTTGTTGTTCTTGTTATTGATGTCGTCGTTGTTGCTGCTGTTGTCTTCACATCGAAGAACCGTTCCGGTCTCCGCCAGTACCTTCTAATGCAAGTATCCGTACTGGTCTTGTTGTTGTCTTCACATCAAAAACCGTTCGGTCTCTGCGCAGCATCTTGCAACATCCGTCCCGACCCATCTGACGCGGACGGCTTCCGTGGCCACTGGCCATGTACCCGAGAAAGGTGTTGGTCAGAGGCCGCGCGAGTTTGATGCCGAACGTCACGAGGCATTGCTTGCTCCCGTTGTACATAGCTGGTGCTCTTACGAGTTAACCGGAGGAATGGCTGGTTCGCCAAAATTGGTATAATCCACTGTTTTTCCGCCAGGCTTTTCTTCCCAAAGCGGAAGTGGTCTGTGAAACAGAAAAGACGGCGCACACTGCCAGAAACAGCGGCGGGGGGGGGATACGCACATCCAGAAACAGCGGGGGCGGAAATAAGCATGCCACATGAACACATGAAGTGCG